TCCCAACCCCAAGCACGGATTGAATGCTTTATCCTATATGTTTGCTCAATGGATTTTGCTACGTAGACTACTGTATACGTTCTAGGGTCATGTACATGTTGAGATTACAGTATACAGTGCAATAGTATAAGTTCGAAAAGATACTTAGATTCCACTATATCGGGCATTTCACTATGGTGCCACTATGTGCGTATAGCGGACCACTACTGCTGTAGCAATACCGTGTACGACACAAGGTAAAACCCCCCCCTGGACCGATTTTCGGAGACCGATTTCTCAACAGCGAGAGAATCACAGCGCCGAAGACGGCGGCGTTGAAACGTTGAAACCGTCTGGTCCATCACAGATGGCACCCGCACTAAAGAACACACCTACCTGCTGTTCAGAACATGGGGCTAAAAAACTCCAAAACTTAAGAACTCGGCCAAAATAACAGGTGCTCAGTTCTGACGTGACATAAGAACAAGAACCCGTATCGAGGTGTCCAAACTCGAGGTCAAAATAAAAACGGGGTCCATTACAGATCTTGGCTGGAAGACAAGAACTTCGGCGGGTAGCGTCACCCCCTACCCACCCCCTCCCAGTATTTTCTTCTACAACATGGGGTGGGTACCAAAAAAATAGCGAACCAGGAGGGTGTGTGTATGGGATATCGCTGTGCCTCGTTCGCTTCTGCGACCCTCGGGTTTCCTCGGGTGCGCGCCACGCAACAAGCCCTCTGTCTGCACGAAGGGCGATCATGTCGCTTCCCTTTGCGACGTTGAGGGAGCTCCAGAAGCTCGCAGCACTCAAAGCAAGGGCGTGATCTTTAAACGACAGTACGAGGTGGTCATGAAACATGTGAGGGAGGGCAACTCCCTCTCGAGCGAAGACTGGGAGGCCTTCAATTTGGCGTGGGACCTGAGGAGCAGCGGCGTGTTGTCGGAAGAAGGGTGAACCACGCAGGTTGATGGAGACATCTCGGACATCATCAACAGCGCTCGCCCTACACTGTCTTCAGACCACGCTGCCGCGTTGTCTGCATCCGGAAAGCGGTCAGCAGACGGTTGAGGGCGAGGGAGTGTGTTGTTGTTGGTGTGGTGGTGGTTGTTTCTCACATTAGCTCTATAGTCCACAAAAAATGGGGAACCAGTGGTCTCAAAACCCGGCACATACGACGCCGCGGGGAAACAAAACAAAAATAGGGTACAAACCACTCGGAAAAAGAACAAGATGATAGAAAGAACAGAACAGGAATCGCACCGACCGTTCGAGAAAAGAGCCCTCGGAAACCGATTAAAATAAAACAAAACAAAAATAGGGTACAAACCACTCGGAAAAAGAACAAGATGATAGAAAGAACAGAACAGGAATCGCACCGACCGTTCGAGAAAAGAGCCCTCGGAAACCGATTAAAATAAAACAATAACTAAAATATAGGAGGACGCTTGCCACACCCGCCCAACGAAAAAATCAAAGGGTAACGTACCAGCACCAGGCANAGATGATAGAAAGAACAGAACAGGAATCGCACCGACCGTTCGAGAAAAGAGCCCTCGGAAACCGATTAAAATAAAACAAAACAAAAATAGGGTACAAACCACTCGGAAAAAGAACAAGATGATAGAAAGAACAGAACAGGAATCGCACCGACCGTTCGAGAAAAGAGCCCTCGGAAACCGATTAAAATAAAACAATAACTAAAATATAGGAGGACGCTTGCCACACCCGCCCAACGAAAAAATCAAAGGGTAACGTACCAGCACCAGGCACTACGGACCAGGGCATGGGAGTAACGGAGCAAACAGGACAAAGAGGCGGCAGATGGGCAGACAGCCAGACGTACAAAAAGGCAACAGCACAAGCGAGATCAAGGTACCCAACGCACCAGAGTAGGCAGGGAGGTCATGAAAAAATAAGAAACACAACACAGAGGCCGAAGGCAATACAAAGGACATACAGAAAGGAGTATAGCATAACGCAGGGAGGGAAACAGGGCGCAACAAGTTCAGCCGGGTACACATTTCGCTATAAGTGCTGCCTCGGCCGCCCCACTCGCTTCTACAGCAGTGCCCGGTCGCCGTTTCTTCCCCTCCCACCGCCGCTTCCCCGATTTTCTTTCTCTTCGGTCCTGAGATGGCCATACTCTCGGCTTCTGCTTCCCTCGCGCGCTGGCGCTTCGCGGACGCTTCCGCCTCCTGCCTGTGCCATTTC